GGTGTCAGTCCACGATCTGTAATGTTATCCGCGCGAATCGCACAAGGGATCGTGGAATCTGATACCAGCATAGCGGTCCGTGTGACTGAGCCTTACTCCTTTCTTTATTTATTTGTAACGCGCCCAAGGCAAAGGAAGAGGCAAACCAAGAGCGTCATTAAATTGTCACAGTACACTTCTACCAACTGTAGCTCAACGATTCCTTCTTCGCAAAGTGTTTGAAAAGTAAAGATACAGACGAACAGAGCGCCGCGCCACCGCGTTTTCCCTCCAACTAGGTAGCCCTGTGAATTTAATTATGTGTGTCCATCAGTTGTTCCACGAAGTTGGGATTAAAAGCATTTGCGGAACTTTGCTTCTTACTCGCGCAGGTCCTTCTTGCCTTCAAGAAGCATTAGCACAATTTCGTCGTCGCCGAGGAGATAAAAGCAGACTCAATCAGTTAATAAACTTTCGAACTCTGATGCTGATCACAGCAGGTAACGGAAATACGCAAAGGAAGCGGAATGCGAAGGAAACTAAGGAATTTTCGAAAGCTCGACGTTTTTTTTGTTGTGCAATGGGTAATTCTTGGTGTAGTATAAGCCGTGAATCATGTTTGAAGTTTATGATTCAGACAATCACAAATCGGTAACTCACTAATTTTTCCATTATATACAAGATGAGTGCCGATGGTATGTCTGTAGTGGTTTGCGTTTATCTAAGAGTCAGTAATCACCTATGGGAGGGGAAACTGAACGCTCCTTAGGCCAATGGCTCTTTTTCTGGAATTCTTTTTGCCCGATTCGTGGAAAAAGGGCAAGGAGGAAAAAACCCGCGGCAAACTTCAAGTAGTCCTCTTTACCAACAGCGTCAAAACACTTTTTCCACCACCGATCTGTTTGTGTTGTTGGCTGCGATTTTCACCGAGTAATTTTCCTAGAGGCGTGTTTGAAGTTAGGTTGTTGAGCGGAGGTTATTTCTAAGTTAGTAGAATCTGTTTTCTTCCTCCTTCGAGTCCAATCATTTATTTCAGGTCAAGCGTGAGATTGGCGAAGGATCCTTCAGTGTTGTGTATTCAGCGACTGAGAAAGCCGACGCGCATCGAGATGTTGCGATCAAAATGTGCTTCAAAAAACAAATTTTGAAGGAGAAAAGGGTGTGTTATTTGAAATACTATAGATTTGTAAGCAGTTCAAGTACCAAGTGTTTAAATATTCCTCCTGCTTGAGTATATTGATAAATGCAAGATGTTCATGCAATCGGCTAGATGATTGGTGGTGTTTAACATTCTGCGCAAATTGTAAGAGTGGCATCGGTTACATCGCGAGAAGCGCGTGCGCGGGATTGCCTCGGGAATTGTCTTTTTTTTTTTTCTCACGGCAGCACATCAGCATCCCTTTATAGTCACTTTGTATGCCACATTCCAGGACCGAGATCACCTGTACTTTGTGCTGTCATATGCTCAGTGTTAGTTTGGTTATCGTCTCTTTTTTCTTTTCCACCTCCTGATTCGAAATCTGAATTTCAAAAAGTGCGATATGGGTAAGTACCCATTTTTGATTGAAACAGATTACTTTCAGGTGGTGATCTTCTCCATATCATGTTGAAGAAAGCCTGAAAGGGCAGTTCAACTTATGAGGAAATCTCAGTTGTTTATGGCAGCAGAATTCTTTCTTGACAGTTCGTGAGTTTTTTCATTACTGAGTTTTTTCTATCTCTTCTTATCTTGATGGTCTATGGAAGTATTCTTGATTCTGAATCTTCATCGACAACCTCTTTTCCAGAGCACCTTCATTCCTTATCCTATGTACATAGAGACGTAAAGCCAGAAAATGTTCTGGTTGCTGCCAGTGGCCACATCATGATCTCAGATTTCGGCAGTGTCAAGGACTTATCGGCACCGGTGCGTGTGAAGTTGAAATACATGGATCTTACTTACTTTGCATTTTATGTTAATAGCGAAGTTTTTCTGCCACCTACAGAAATTCTAATCAGCAGGGAAGGAGGCTGGGTGAGAAAACGAAAGTGAAATGCTGGAGTCTAGACACGCAGAGTATGGCTGGTCCTGTGACGCAACCGTTTCTCCCACAACCATAGGATAGGATAAGCGGCAGGGGACGCGTCCTCCTGGGGAAGGATAGGATACGTACCCTGGCCTTCCATCCTCTGCCGAATGGGGATTGTCATGGGCGACACTAACTATCACAACTCACGCCGTGCCCCTTAATCAGATAACTCCGGAAGCTCAGTTTTAAAGCTGAAACAGCAAAGTTGTGAGGTGTCTGAAAAATTGGTTTGTTTTAGCTCTTAAGCCACTACTATAAGAATGACTGTGTTGCATTTTTTCATGTTATTATGAACTATTTGTATTTTCCAAGGTTGAGATGGATAATGGTGACAATTCTGGCAGGCGAGTCAGGCGATCTTCATTCGTAGGCACGGCTCAATATGTCAGTCCGGAGGTGAAAACATATTTCAGCTAATTTTATTTTATAGTTCACCCTTGTTTTGTCCATTTAGTCCTAAATTATTTAAATTAGAAGTATTTATACCAGTTGTATGCTCATACCTCTCTCTCAAGGTGCTCGAAGGAGAACCCGTCTCACCGGCTACGGATCTCTGGGCGTTTGGGGTGGTCATTTATCAATTTTTGACAGGTACCACTCTAATTTTGCCCATAAGGAGTTGTGGATGATTAAGAGAGTTCCAGGCAAACATGCTTTTCACGACGAATCGGAGTACTTAATGTACAAACGTATTCAGAAGTTGTTGTACTCATACCCGGCTGATTTCCCCAACATCGTCAGAGATTTAATCGATCGTTTATTGGTTATCAAGGTAGGATTACTGCTTTGTCGTCATCGGTTAGTGTATGCATGTAAATAGAAAGCAGTGAGTGATTTTACAGCCTGAAAATCGACTTGGTGCTGAGAAGACGGGTGGTCCAGAAGCAATCCGTGGCCATAAGTTCTTCGATGGCGTTGACTGGAATGATTTGATAAACTCTAAACCTCCTGCTCTTTCATTGTAACTACCGAGATATATGTCATTGTGTTTTTTTGAAGCAATTCTCTCGTGCAATCTATTTTATAACGAGTATGTCTACAAATTTTTGAAGCTGAATAAACTAGTCTTATTCCAGAATTATTTTCTATCTGTTGGGTTAATCTTCTTCATATATTTATGAAAGTATGCCACAATCACCATGAATATTCATGTTTTTCGACTTTTTCAGTTTGATTTATTATTGCAGTAGCTGTTGAATGGCGAAGGTCATAAGAAGTGAGTTAGCTAGTTTTGCATTTTTAATTTGATGTGTGGAAGTCTGCTATTTGTTTAGCAAGATGGATCTATCGACCTCATGGAAGATGGCATCGATATCTGCCTCGGAGAAACGATGCAGTAAAAGAGTTCGACTATGAAAAGGGAGGGTCTCTTTCTGAATTCAGAGAGGATTTGATGAGTCAGGTAGTTTGGTTGTTCAAATTTCCGTTTTTTCCTCGTGGCTTTTCAAGCAATACGAAAAGGATGTAAACCTTCAGGGTAGTGAAGAGCCAAAAGCTGGACCATCTAAGCTTTGGATGGCATGGCTGTATCGTGATCTCAGTGGTGAACCAAAATGGACGAGATCAAGGGTCAACAAATTGTTTGGCCCTGATTTCAAGGTATGAATTCCTTTGGGGTTTTTTTTAACCCTTTGACGACCGCCGTTATGAATGCGTCACTTCACTTCTTTCTAAATTTTTTCATCAATAATCATTAACTCTCCAACAATTTCACTATTAGTAATTAGCGCATTATTCCGCGAATTCGATAATGTATTTGTGTAGTTTTGAAACATAAAAATGCCAAAATAAACCCCTAAAAACGTGTCGCCACCGAGCGAAAGTGTGGCCCACCGGCGGGCCACACGGTCGTCAAAGGGTTAATGATTTGGGGTTTTTGTATCTATTCACCGAACTTTTTCCGATCTCCCACATTGTCTAGAAGGCTTGTACTAGAATCTCCGAACCCGCGTGAAAATTGAAGCCGTTGACTCACTAAAACTCATGGTGATTTTTCGCTATTTTTGCTTCCCTCTACATAGATAATCCCATTGATCAGCCTCCCCCTTGTAATCCTCTTTATCTAACCTCCCATTTAATAAGAAGGGATCTTTGAAAGGCAGATTAGCTCTCTTATTTTTGATGAGGCTAGGGGAAGCTTGCGATTGTACGTGAACAATGTAGAAGAGAAATGCCGGCAACTGAAGTGGGTATCACTTGATTAAATATATAGTGTGAAAGGACTGGGGAAAAGGCCGCACTCTCACCGCTGTGTTGTAACTTTATGTTGCAGTCAGCGTTCAATTTAAACCGGGTGATTTTCTATTACTAACTTGCCTGCTGGCCCCGATTCACACTAGCTTCTTCATTGTATCTTTTTTCAAACCTACAATTATAGAGAAAGCGGTAATAGTTGCGCTTGGGTGAATATCTTTAAAATTTACTTCTATGCTACGTTGTTTCTTTTCGTTTTTGTTCTGATGAAACTCTCCAAACAACTTTATATGACGACGTTTCGGGCCTTAAGCCCTTCCTCAGGTCTACAAATGCGAGCATGTTAAATTCACATCAACAACGTCATCATATAAAGTTGTTTGGAGAGTTTCATCAGAACAGAAACGAAAAGAAATTGTAAAACAATGAAGCTCAGGAATCCTATGATCTTAATATGCTACGTTGTATGAAACAAATATGTTCTGTTTATGGTGGTAACCGGTTTTTGTTGAAGGTGGGACGAATGGAAATATTCCCTAATACGTCAGCATACAATGAAGAATTATGGCATATAAAACATCTCATCGAATTGAAGCCTGTGACTTTTCCAAATGGAGAACCCACTGCTGATGACATTTATGGTGTTCAGGTAATGTGTTGCGGTTTCCAAGTTTTCGAGGCCATTTGTTTTTAAAGTTCATATGTTGTTCAACCTATCGCAACTGTTCTCATTGCTGAATGCGTGCTGCAGCGAACAGAAAAAGCCTCTATTGCTTTATTTAGCACTTTTGCCATATTTCAAAGTTGCCGGTGCACGCTTTCAGAAAAAAAAACCTATTGTCATCAATTATTGGGGTGTATAGGTTGGCAATTCTGCGTATCATGTTAGTTTTTAAGAAACAGGCGCAGTGCTCTAATCTTGTGTCAGTTTTAGGTCCACCCTGATGGGCGATGTGAAGTAGCTAAAGAAGCGACCCCTCTTGGCGAAGAACAGTTGAGATTAATGGATCCGAAGAAACAGGTAAACTATAGCATTTTCTGGTTTTATCGACCTTGATCAAAAACTGCATACAAATATGCCTTCTTCAGTGGTCTTCAAAGGAATTGAATAGGCAGTTGGCCAGTAAATATCATGGATGCAAAGATATATTCGAGACAAATGTTTATACCAACTCAAATATTAGTGTAGTAAAGTGATATTTTGTTCATTTTTCCTTCATTTGTTCAAGTTAGGCTGTTATTTAGTGTATGTTGATAACCATTTTCCAAAATTGTAATAAAGATTGCCTTTTTGCATAGTCCTTGCCCATATCGACAAAGCTTCGGGAAATGTCAAGGTAGGAAGCAGTGGAAGGGTGCAGCAGCTGGAAGTGGCCATGGTGAGGCGTGAAGATTGCACATCATCTGAATTGTAGCAAAGCTCAAACTCCATTCCACGAACGGTGGTAGAGTGTGCCATTGAAAGATATATTCCTGCTAGTACGTTCATTCGTGGGGCAAAGTTAGTGCTCGTTGGGAGTCAAGGTGAGGAGGATCTTGAGCGACTTTTTGTGGAGGCTTTTCTAGTTCTACCGACCTCCAGTTCTGGTAATTTTTAGTGGAATTCTCCTGCTGCAAGATTTGCGTCTCCAAACTCTTGTAGTGCAATTGTAATTTCGCACCATTTGACACGCTAGAATGCTGAAGGTTGGAACTGTCAACGCAATGGTCAAACTGAGCTTGCCCTCTACCTCGTTTTCGATTAATAACATGCTCTCATCTGTAACTGTTCGTTTGCCCATGTAGTGCTGCACCACTAAGCAAATACTTACCCATTAACACAAACATTACCCATGCGCCAAACTTTTATAAATTACCTTTTTAGATGCTACACACGCTTAAGAGTACGTTGCACTAGGATTCATCTTAATATCTTACCCAGAGTTCCCAATAATTCTCTTTGGAGCCACGGGTCAGGACCAAGTTGGTGTGTTATTTTGTTTGAAAAATAGGCAAGAAGTGCGACGATAGACGTGAGTAGGGAGTAAAAACCAAAAGCACAGTGGGAAACACTAAATTTAGTTGTGATGGCGGCCGTGGTGTGACGGAGACCAATGCGGCGTAAAGAGTGAAAACGCGAAAGAGTACGCTGCACACGAGAGGGCACAAATGCCAGCTATGCCGCGATTGATATAGTGGCAGCACCGGCAGCGTACTGGGCAAGGCCTTGCGATTAGCGGTCATCTGCATGATAAATTTGTATGTCAGTTCAAGGTAACCTCCCCTTCAAAAAGCGAGAAAGTGTCGGGTGCAGACCAAACACCACAACTGACGACGGCCTCCAAGTAAATCTGGTTAGAAGTTGTTCATAGTGATAGCTGATTTCTGGTAAATGATAGTTGTAATTAGTGACAATCGATAGAATACAACTGCAACAGGCTAATCATTTCATTGGCAGAAAACATTAACATTTTGTGAAGGCCGTCGTCACTTGTGGTGCATGGTCTGCACCCGACACTTTCTCGCTTTTTGAAGGGGCCGCTATATTCGTCTTTCCCCTGCGTCTTTATTCAGCCAATCCCAACTCACTGATGAGCTCCGGGGATTGACGAAATAATAAGGTTCGTCTGAGGAAGGAGTGGACCATTTATGCTATTAGAAAGGACTGGTATGAAAGTGTAGCCAGAATTTGGTCTAAAGAATGTTTTGGCATGCAAGCCAGATGGCTGTATATGACTGGGAACCTCTTATAATGCACGTTATCCACCCCATAATGAAGCTCATCTGCCAGATTGTTCTTGGAATCGGTAACCGTCCATTGAAAGAATTCTCGTTATTCTTAATATTGTGAGAATGGGTTTCACATTTTTTAAAGGTTTCCTCCGGGGTAAAACGAAAATCTACTGAATTTAGACCAGCCTATGTTGCGTAACCCGCGTTGGATTGAACAGGATATAGTCAAGAAATATATATCCGGTACCACATAGTGGTTGTAGGCGATGCTTGCAAGTGAATAGAAGAGTAAATTTTGCTCTTTCTAGCCTGCTATTGATCGGAGATCACTCACATTGCTGACCGTGTCTGAATTCACCCATTCCTAGCTGGCGGTCTGAAAGGGAGTTAGATGATAGATCGGAGGTCGAAAATGGAAATACACTCAGTAGAAATGAAGAAAGGTCCCTTAAGGCTAGTTTCAGAGTCTGCGATGTCGCGCGACGGATCACAGAAATCACAAGTGCCCGATCAATACTGCGAGGTGCTCTCCAATCCGCCGCCATTTCTGCTTGATGGTGATGGTTGAATGACGACTGTTCATGATTCTACTTGTTTCATATTCAGTGTTTCAAATGTTCAAATGGGGCACTTGCGATTTTGATTCGCGTTACGGATCGCGGACGCTGCCATCACCTAATGGACCATACCGGCGCGGTTCGCGGCTCTACACACCCACCGACTGGCTAGTCCTCGCCGTCGGACTATAGTCGCGGACTCGAGCCATCTAGCAGAAACACAGAGCAAAACAAGCACCGATGAGACTCGACCCAATGCGGAAATCTATGAGGGGCGCAATGTGGCTCGGGGGGAGAGCACTCTGTAAAAAGGCCCTCTGCGGACTAGACCTAGGCAGCAGGGCAAACTCCGAAGATCACCAAAATTGCTCCGTCTATACGAATTCTTCCACCTCACGAAACGCCAATTCCTTGAAACTGAGCTTGTATCCGGTGATCCTGACGCGACCTTTCCGTGGTGGCCCACTCCCCCTCCCCCCCCCACGGCCACATCGCCGCCTAACGAAAGGACAAAGATCCCGCTCGCACCACCTTCTGTCTTCAATCATCGGTGATCAAATTGTCGGAAATTGCATTTAAAAGATTAGGCGATCCGGTTATTAGGCGATTCGACGATTTTTATGAGCATTACCTTTCAGCCGGGGTCGACTAAAGTTTTTAAATCGCCACATCGCTGAATCTTTCAAATCGAGGGCAATTTGCGGTGCCTCAGAATGGGTGGTAGAGTGATTTTCTGATGGTCGTATACACGATTTCGGCCGTAGGATCTCAATCACCTGACCTGAGCAGCGTTTCATGCTCAAGTTCAGGCAATTTAGCTATCTGAAAGGATTGCTTTAATATCCGATCCGGAAATCTGCGAATACGGCGCTTTATTGCGATTCTCTTAGAAAGTCAGATGCTATGATGAATCACTGCGCCTCACGCCGCTTCGTCGATCTGATGCGCCGGTGATCCATCTTATCGACTCATTCGATTTCTTTTAGCGTGAACGTTTGATCGCTAAAATCCTGAACCATGAACGCCAGTCGAGGCTCCAGAGACTAGGAAGGGTGGATCCGAAGATCATCGCATACGAATCGATCGAGAAAACAGAAGAATGGCAGAATCGTTCATGTGATTCACCGCCTTCAATGCGAACAGAGTCAAGACATCGACACCTGTCGAGGGTCCCGTTCATAGTTCGCGACCTTTGCGATTTGGCGATTCCGCCAAAAGAATCCATAGTGTCAATACGACGATTCGGCTACTAGGCGATTATGCGGTTGGGCGGTCAGGCCGCTCGGTAATTCATGGTCGATTGATTTGACCCACCGCATGATACTTCGTCGACTGTGTGTGTGTCGGCGTGATGATCGATACTCACGTTTATTTATTCATTTATATGCCGGATCGCTCAAATCTCGAGCTATAAGCTGCCGAATCTTATCCATTGGTGTTGCCGTTGTTGGCTCAGGGACTCTGTTGTGTTCGATCGATACGTATATGATTCGTTATGTGGATTCGCTTTTTCTGTGAAGTCGCAGACTGTGAACATTACCTTAGGCTTTAGCTTCATTGAAGGTATTGATTTTTCTGCTAGGTCTGTGTTATATCTTCGGTGTTCTTACTATCGAGATGAACTGGTTCAATATGAAGCCAAAGCTGACAACTTTCTGAGACTCCGGATGTCGGATATAGTCATAGCTGAGATCTTTTTCCTGGGATATCACGCAGTGCTTCTGTGTGATTTCCCGTTCCGCTTACCTATTCTTATCTTGTCCGTGTGCCATGGCAGTCGGGTGGACACACCAATTTTCAAGTAGAAGGAACTTCGGGGGCAGAAATGTTGCTTATCCACCCCGAGTTCCTGTCCAGAATAATATCTAACCACATTCACCCGCATGGCAGCCCATATGGCGCAAAACCGATAATTCGGCATGCTCAGCGCTGACGAACATGGACAGACTAGGTTGGTAACGTCCGTAATCGAGTGTAAAATGCTTTAAATTCCTTCACGGGGAAAGTGAATAAATGCTCTCTTTTCGTAACCACTATTTGTCGTTCTGATCGAAATCCTACTGTTATATGTTCAGATAATCTTTACGCATTGGACATTGCAGAAATTATTTTGTGACATTCATGTTTTTGTTCATTTACAAAACAAAATCTGCGGTTATGTGGTGAGGCGGCGGCGCCACAAAATCGCGTCCGTCCCACGCGACCGAAAAGTGGAAAAGGGGCGTCGTCGTGAATGTGTTAAATTCGCTTTGTGGCTTCTGCCCCTCTTTGTAAAGGTAGCAATCATCGCATGCACTA